AGGGAGCAGCCCAGACACAAGAAAGGCCAGCCTGGCGCACCAGGAGCGGCTCCTGGGGCCAGAGACAGACTGGGCACGGTCCTGGAGCCCATGCAGCCGCCTGCACAGCTAGGGTCCGGGGAGAAGACCCGAGGGCCTCAGCCTGCAGCTGCAGAAACCGCGCCCTGGCCAGCCCTGCCCTTGGCCCCTGGGTGCAGAGGACCCCTAAGCCACCCCGGCCTCACGGCTGCCCCACCCTCCTCCACAGCCACTCCTGGTCTCTACTCCCTCGTACTGCCCAGGCCCTCACCCGCTGGCCAGCGCCTGGCCCTACTGCCCCTCACACCCTCCCACAGCCCACAACTGCCCCAGGATGAAAAGGTGGCTGGGGGCTGGCCACGTGCTCGTCTCCGTGTCCTCGCCTCTTCCTTCCTTAACACATTGTAACGCACGTCCCCAAGAGCTCCCGATGGCAGCCTGTGCGCCCCGCCAGACGGTCCCCCCATACCACCCCTCCCCCCAGGAAGGGACCACTCCCTCATCTCCCCCGATGCCGGCGGGCAGGGGTTCTTGGAAGGAAACTGCAAGAGCACCCTGGGGCTGGGCCCAGGACACCCCTCACCCACCCAGGCTACCCGGCTGCAGGCACTCGAGCGCCCTGGGTCACGGGTGCTGGAATCAGCTCTGGATCTCAAACCCGAACGGCGTCACGCCAGGTAAAAAGCATCGACAACGGGAAAGAGCCCAGTGTGGTCTCAGTGCTGCTCGAGTGTCCTCAGTCCACGGCTTGTTCAATCCGCGGATGCGCAACCCACAGAGCAAAGTGCTGGCTCGTGCGGGTGGACGGGGGCGGTCGACGACAACAGGCGACACCTGAGGTCCTCAGAGGCTCAAGCCCAGACCTGCTCTCAGAAGTCCCTGCGCTCGGCCAGCGGGGGCACGAGGCACCTGCCTGTCCCTCATCACCAGTGAGGCGAACCAGCCCCTTCCCGTCCCTGGAATCGCTAGGCCACAGGAGGGGCTTAGCTCTCGATTCTGCATGTCCCCGTAAACGTTTAACCACTTATCAGGTGTCCTGAAAAGCAGTCACGACGTGTGATCACAGCTGCGACGGACCTGGGAAGGTCCTCCGCACAAAGACAGGAGAGCCCCAGAGGGCAGAGCCCGGGGGACCCCAATGACCTCCCATGGGGAGTGGGCTGGATGTAGGAGGGTGAAGCCACTCAGAGCCTGGGTAACACTCGAGAGCACAGCTGACTAGCAGGGGTGACCATCCCAGTGACCTCATCTGGTGACACTTTAAAAGCCCTGGGCTCCCTCTTTAGAGCCTCAAGGGTGCAGGGATTGGAGGTGAGGGGCTCTCTGAGGGTGAGGGGCCATAAAGCGAAGGGTAAAGGTGGCCTCTGGCTCCTGAGAGCAGCCCCTACTGGTGGCCAGCAAGGACACAGGGACATTGGCACACAAGTGGAAGTAACCCAGCCCCCAGCCGAGACGCAGACTTGTCCAGAGCCCCGGGGACGCGGCCCCACACACACACTTGATCTCAACAATCGCCTGGCACCCAGAGCAGAGAACAGGCCAAGCTGGATGTGGCCCGTGGAGCCAGGAGCTCAGGGAGGGCCATGTCAGGCTGCTGACCAAGGCAGTGGTTGGAGGCGGGGTGACGGGCACACCATCGCAGTGGACACGGGCACTGGGGACTTCCTGTGTGCAGGCCTGCGGTGTCCTGCGTGATATCGACTTTCAGGACCTCCGGGCACGTACCCAATTATGGCGTCTTTCAGGACGCAGCTTCGAGAGCCTGCAGCTGTGGTCGGGAGCACGTGAGGGCAGGCTCCTGGCCATCCCTTCTGCTGCGCTCACACTACTTTTCGTAACTGCGTCTTTTCTGAATAGACAGTCGCCGTCCAAGGATCAGCATCACTCTCTCCTGCTGTGCTTCTGCCGTGTTCTGTGCCTTGTGCCTACCAGGAGGCTCAGGGGAGGCTCTGCAGAGCCACATGCCCCCAGTGCCCCTCACCTGCTCATTCTCAGGTCTTCGGGAGCTGGCGGGACCTGCTACTCCTCACTCAAGGACCTGACCGACCGTCTCCACATCTGCCCTGGAGGCAGCAGGACAGCCCATGGATGGAGGCCTCCGTGCAGAGACACAGAGCCAAGCCAGGTGAGGGGGTCTGTATGGGGAGGGGGTGGCACTGATCCAACAAAGAAATTAAGGAGAATAGAACCCACCAGAGAAGGGGCCTCACAGCCCGGCAAAGCCACGGGGCACCGAGGCAGTGGTGAGGGAAGCTGGAGCAACCTCATGGCCATCAGCCAATAAAGCGACGAGCGCTCTAACTGTCCCCGAGGGAGCCCGGTTCAGATGGCAGCATCAACCTCCTGCCGCGTCCAGTGGCAGACACTTCTCTCATCTGAGGGACGTCCCCACAGCTCCTTGGAGATGGCCCCCCAGACGACAACGCAACAGGGCACGGGTGGACGTTAGAGAAGCCCTGAGCATCTTTTTGTGCCAAAAAGGAAAGAAACCATCAAAAGGCAGTGGCTGCAGCAGCCAGAGGAGGAGGTCCCTGCCACAAGGGCCACACCGCCACCCAACTAAGCAGGACAGAACCCAGCCGGCAGAAGGAACAACCAGGACCCTCCACGAGGACGCCCCCAGGGAGCAGGAGGCGGGAGGGCACGGCCGGTTCCACCACACTCCACAGGCGCGTCCAGAGCCAGTACTGGGCAACCCTGCCCGATGGGGCCATTCCCCAGAGTCACGGCTCACAAAAGCCAGGAGGACTGAGCACATCCAGGAGGCGGGGACACAGCCACAACGCCACGTGTCTCGGGACCCATGTGCTGGGGGGGCATGGAACAGAGGACGGTGGCCGGCGTCACCTCCTGCAGAGGGCTCAGGCCAGCTCGCTGCTGTCCTGGCAACTCTTCCCCAAGGCTGCTGCCGCCTCCGAGTCACTGTGACCAAACACGAGCAAGACCTAGGATCTCGCCCTGGACCTGCTCCACGCCACCTCGGTCACAGCATCTGTGCCTTGTGCCATCCGGCGCAGAGCCAGTGGGGCCCAGCAGCTCTTGGGGGGGAGCAGAAGTGAGAACAGCCCCTGGTGGGTGGGGTGTGAGGGTGGGAGCAGGCTCGCACCCGCCTCCCCAGCACGGGGCCAGGCGGTGCTCCCAGGGGCCCTGCTGGCCACGGAGAGCCAACCCTATGGGTCCAGCGGGGCACGTGAGGCTTTCAGGCCAGGGGGCTTTGGTGCCTGCCAGAGTGGGTCCCCTCAGTGACCTCATGTGCTCCCCAGCTGACCCCACACGTCCCGCCCCATCATGAGCTGCTCAGACCCACAACCGTGTCGCTCCAGTGTGCGCAGCACAAGCCCCGCGTCCAAGCCACAGGTGCCCACACACCCCACCCGTGGCCCTGACAGGCTGCTGTCCCGCGTGGGCCCCAGCTCCTTCCTGCCCTCACACTACAAGCCCAGCTGCCTCCACCCTGTCTCCTGCTGACCCTGCGGACACAGGCCTTCTTGGCGCCCAGGCCCAGGCCCCCGCTCACCTCCCCTTCCTCAGGCCTCCTTGAGGGCCGAGATTCCAGCTTCACACGGTGCTGGGTGAACCTAGGATCCAGCAGGACAAGCCCCGACCCTGTGCCCAGCCAGAGCACGGAGGTGACCACGGGAGACGGCTGGAGATGCTCAAGGCTGCCGCAAGGGCCATGAGGGGCCAGCACACTCCTCAAGGGGGGCTCTCCATCACAGCTGCATGGCCACCGCGCTCCGCAGAGCGCCTGCTGAGAAGGAAGAGGGTGGACTGGTCACTGCACCAGGGCTGCCCCCTCCCCCCGACCAGCACAGCCAAGTCAGGGCCCATCTTTGTCAAACTCAGCGCATATGAAATTGTCAGGAGCCCCCAGAATGCCCGCAAGACCTCAGGCCACAGTCCACAGGCGCCAGCAGGCCCAGCCAGGCTCCTCCCTCCCCTCCACACACTCCTCCAGGGACAGCGCTCCCAGCCTCCTTCCTGAGGGCAGCACAGGTCGCCCAGAATCATCCACCACCTGGCAAGAAAAGCCATAGAGGTGGCTCTGCACCCAGCCCAGACACAGGTGGACAGCAGGGCCAGGGAGGGACAGGCACAGAGGCAGGACAGAGGGCACAGCTGTATATCCCACAAGTGCCCTGAGGACTAGGCTCATTTGGAGATGGGACACTCCACAGTTCAGACAGGTCAGCCCAGCCTGGCCTCTCAGAGGACTCGGGAGACGTCCACAGGGAAGGTGCCGCCCAGATGGCAGCAGTGGCTTACGGGGTCCCAGGGCCCACCGCACATTGGAAAGAAATCAGCGGAACCCATGCCACCACCAGGTGGCGCCCGAACCTTAAGAGCAAGGGGTGGCAGGCCCCACCCTGTCCCCAGAGCAGTAAGCGGCCCAGCCCTGGGGGTCCTTCTGCCCTAACCAGCCCCCCCCCAGAGGCAGCCTGCTCCAGGAGGCCCAGCGACCAAGGCAGAGTGTCAGGCACAGGCACAGGATTCCAGGGGACACCAGGAGCCACAGGAAGCCAGCATGTGCTGTCACAACCACCTAGATCCTCATGATCCCACATTCTGGGGCTACACAGTGTCCCTGGGCCCCTTTCCAGGATGTCATCCTCAAATCCCATCTCCACACAAGCTGGCAAGACTAGGGTGCCTGTGTCCTGCCAGGCGCTCACCCTTCAAGCCCACGGCAGACCTCACTCGTCCACCCAACGCTCTCCTCCATGAAGGGGCTCCAGGGACTAGGCAGCAACCCCCTGAGCTGGTGCCCCAAACGAGAGCCCTGGGTCAACCTGGGTCCAGAGTGGATCGAGAGATGACACGGCCTGTCGCACACGCCCACTTCCCCCCCTGGCCCAAGCAGGGCCACCTCGGGCTTGCAGGCCACCGTGCAGTGGCAGGAAGCCCCTCAGCCAGGTGTTCGCGCTTTCCCGAGCAGCCCTGCCCCAGCAGCAGGCCCCGCGTGGGTAGAAAGCACAGACGTCTCAGCCTCCGCGGGCCACCGTGGAATTATTGGCACTCTGATCCACAGAAACACCCGGCCCCCATCACGCGCACAACCCGTGACGTAACGACACACCCAGGTTCCCCCGTGTCCGACCACCAGCACCCCCAGGCCCGAGGCTGCAGGGGACCTGCCCAGCCCACGCGGCCCTGTCCCTGGAGGCCTCCAGCAGTGAAGGCACCGCCTCTGGCTTCCAGGCTGGTGTCAAGGCCCCAGAGTCGCCTCCACAACAGAAAAGCAAGTGCCTCCCGGGAGCAGCTCGGGAAGGACGGCAGCAGGGCGCGGCCACCTGGAGAGGCCGGCAGCGCAGCGGCTGAAGGGCAGCAAAAGAGGAACTGGCTTCCTTGTCCCCCTGCTGTCCCCTAGGTGGTCAGTCAGAGCACAGGCTTGTCCTGCTTGGTCATGTGCCATCTCATCCCCAACCAGCCTCTCTCCTGCCGGCTGGCCAGGGGCCGTCAGAGCGTCACCTGCAGAGCCGCACGTGCGGGTGGTTACGCAGCCTGTGCATCAGCTCTTCCTCCTTGGGCTCCTCCAGGATGTCCCTGTGAGGCAGAGGACCAGGCGCTGGGTGAGAGCCACAGCTTAGGGGAGGGTCCCCAAACCAGACGGGCCGGAACGAACACACAGGGACTGGGACCCCAAGGACCAGACCCAGCCTCGGGACAGACGCAGGGCCGCCAGCAGTGCCACCAAGGCTCACGGACACCAGCACAGGCCGGAAGGGCACTGCCGGGGCTCCGCGGTGGCTCCGGCCCCGGGCTCCGGCCCCAGCAGTGCGGGGAAGCAAAGACAGACCATAAAGGCCCAGACACCCGCTGGGCACAGCTGGCACCCGTGCAGGAAATGAGACCCTCAGCAGGCCACCTCCAGTGTGACTGGCCACCTTCCTGGACCAGTACAGAGACATTCAAATGGTCACAGGAAGGAAGGTCACAGGAGCACCCAGAGGCCAGGAAACTGAAAGGGGGGCTCTTTCACGTGCTGGAGCCGCGTCGAGCAGAGAGCCCCAGCCCACTCCTGGCCCTGGCCCTGAGCTGCTGTGACCTGCTCAGCTGTGGCTCAGGAGAAAGGGACATGGTGGCAGGGAGACCCATCAGGGCCTGCTGCTGCACTTCACCCCAGGAGGCTGCTCACAGTGGCTTCCCAGGAACGCACCTGAATATGAGCTCTGCGGTCAGCTGCATCCCCGAGAGGTGCCGCTCATGACTGCGGGGGTCCCACCTGTAAAGGAAGTTCTGGGGAGCGGGAGGGAGGAGGGCGGCCAGTGAGTGTGGGCCCTGTGTGAGGCCAGCCCTGCTGCTCCTGGGCCCAGGTGGCCAGCATCACTGCAAGGGTGGGCATCTCACCCTGGACGCCTGGACTCCGGCAGCGAGATACTCACTCCTGCCGTGGCACGGGCTGGGGCCCCTCCTTCAGCACCAGGCCAGGGCCTGAGCAGCACCACCATGCTGCGTCAGGCGTGTCCCAAGAAAGCCCAGCAGCCAGGGCAAGCCGCACCCACGGCCAGACCAGCCCAGCACAGCCATCCAAAGACCAGAAGGCCCAGCCCCAGCTTCCCACCAGTAACTGACGCGCGAGAAACCGAGACAGGCCTGGGCAGGGACTTCCGGTACCTCCAAAAGCAGAGCCAGAAAGAGGTTGACCCAGATGACGGACGACACCAGCCACCACAACACGAAGTAGACCAGTGACCACCTGTGGGGGACAGGGGGTGCATCCTGGGGCAAGCAGAGCGGGGAGGTCCAGTCCTGACCCCACCATGCACACCTGTCAGGACCTCATCCATGCCCAGCTGGTGTGGGGCACTGGTGTCCCCACTGAAGACCCCCCGCCACCAGCTCACGCAGGAGGTTCCAGGCCACGAGCTCACGTGGGAGCTCAGCACCACACACACCTAGGCCTCCAGGCCAGGCCCTTGCTGGGCTGGGCAGGGCTGTGCTGCCATCTCCCTGGCCCAGCCCACGGAATTCCCGTCACAGCAGGCCACCAGCGCCTCCACACCACACCCGGGAGAGAGTACCCACGTCCTCGGCCATCGCCCAGGAGCAGTGTAGATGGGACACGAGGTCGGCCAGGATGCGCGGCCAGCCACCCCGCACTGTGGAGCCAGCCGGGGCACCGGCAGCCGTCTGGGGGAGCCTGGCTAGGGGTGGGGCTCACCTGCCTGCGTAGCGCTCGTAGGCTTCCAGGAACACCTGCCAGTTGTTCACCACCATCACGTTCCACAAGGTGATCAGGGCGGCCTGCGGGGCAGAGCAGGGTCGGGAGAGTCCTGGGGGGCGGGGAGCAGGCCTGGGGGGACAGGGGGGCCTGGGGGCAGGGAGCCGGGACTGGGAGGGGTCAGGCCACAGGACTCACCGCAAAGTCATCAAAGTTGTTGGCCCAGTACTCCAGCTGCTCGAAGCTGCCACAGGGCACTGAGCCGTTGTCGTGGGCCAGGCTGGGGACACAACACCCCTGTCAGCGACAGGGGCCAGAAAAGCAGCACTCAGCACTGCCCTAGCCCCCTGCTCAGCCAGGACCTCCCTCAGGCCCCTGGGAAAAAGGAGGAAGAGCAGAGTGTCCCCCACGCAACAGGACCACGGACACAGCTCCTCTGGGCTCCGGGGCCACAGTGGGGCTCCGGGTTCTGGGCCTGTACTGCCCACCCCCCATCCCACCCACTTCTGCAGCCTGGACTCAGAGAGGGGTATGGGAGCGGTGGTTCTCAGGAGCCCCAGGCAGGGCACCGGGGAGGGGGGCACAAGGGGAGCAGGGACCCCTCACCTGTCATTGCCAGGAGCCACGATGGCACCTTGGAACAAGTTGATCCCTAAGATGGCAAACACGTAGTACACCACCTAGGAGCCCGGCAGCCCCGTCAGCCTGACTGCCCAGAGCCAGCCAGGGTCTGAGAGGCCACAGCCTTCCGCCCTGGGCACAGGCTCCCAGCCTGGCCACTAACCCCAACCATGAGCCCCACTACTTCAAAACACTGTCAACCTCCGGGGCCAGGTGACCTCAGGTGCCAGTGGAGCTGGGCAGGTATGTCCATGCTCCCCAGGGGACCTGGGTGCTGCCTACCAATGAAAGACGGCTCAGGGACCCCAGCTAGCATGGGGCCCCTCCTCCTAAGCTCAGCCAGCAGACAAAGCCATCCAGTCCCCAGTGACAAGGTGCCCCTGGGATGGCATCCCAGACTCCTGGCAAAGGAATGCCGATCCAGCCCCACCCATGACAGCCCCAGGTCCCGCCTCCAGGAAGGGGAGCAACCTGGCTTCCTGCCCAGCCCTGTACCTCCTTGGCCTCACCTCCCTGCTGATGCCCCAAGCAGGGACCCTGCTGCCCACAGGGCAAAGTCGGCCAGCCGCTGCTCCCGTCAGCCACTATGGAAGGCCAGTCCACCCAAGTCCACTGCCCAGGGTCCTGGTCCCCCGCCACTAGCACCCTCCAGGACTCACCACCAGGATGCCGCCAAATGCCCGCAAGTTCTGGACAAGGCCCAGGATGGTGCTGGCCACCACGGCCATCAGCTGCAGGTAGGAAGAAAGCACAGCCTCTCACTCCTCCCGCCCACTGAGGGACACCAGCACCCACTCTACGACCCTGAACAGAAAGGCAAGATGGACACCAAGCCACAAGCCACACACCCACAGGCACCCAGCAGCCACCCACCCCCACCTGGCCACACCTGGCCACACCCTGCAGCTGTCCCCACACTGCTCACACACCTGGACATATAGACTCAGCCCACAGCTGCCCACACCCACCGGGACACACAGGTACACACATCCTAAAGCCAGCCACACACACTGGGACACACCTAGACAGGTGCATGACCTCCCACACACACCTGGACACACCTAGGTGTGCACCTGGCTACCCACACACCCCCTCACCTGCACACACCACGCCACCCATACACCTGTCCACACACCACACCTACACCCATCGACACACATCCACACCCCGAATGCCTAAACCCACCTGTGCCAGGAACTCCTCACATGGCCAGCTGCCTCGCAGGCCTAGTCCTGTGCCCCTGGGCAGAGCCCCCGGGTCCAGGGCCTCAGACCAGTCTGCCTGCCCACCCGTGGGCCAGGGCAGCTCCGAGGAAACAGCCCTGGAGGTGCCCACTAAGACGGATCCCCACCGGCCAGCCAGGCCTGCAACCCCACCCCCCCGCACACTGTAGGCAGAGGGGCGCCAGCAGGTGGACACCACAAGGGCGAGGGTGCAAGCCCACGCCAGACACCCACATGCACACAGGTGCCTGAACAGTGTGCATGTGACACCGTCCTGCGAGCATGTGTGACATAGCAGACCTACAACCCACATGTGTGCGGTGTGCACACTGTGGATGATGCGATGACACGCACGCATGTGCTGTGAGCACGTGACTGCACATGGTTACGAGGACATGTGAGTACATGGGTTACGTGGACATGTATGTGACTGCACCTGCTTATGTGGACATGCGTCACTGCACGTGGTTATGTGGACATGTGACTGCACGTGGTTACACGGACGCATGCGTGACTACACGTGGTTATGTGGACGTGTGTGTGACTGCACATGGTTATGTGGACATGCGTCACCGCACATGGTTATGTGGACATGTGAACGCACATGGTTACGTGAACGTGTGTGTGACTGCACGTGGTTATGTGGACGTGCGTCACTGCACATGGTTATATGGACATGTATGTGACTGCATGTGCCTCTATGGCTGTGTGCAGGAGTGCCGTCTAGAGTTCACATGGTTGCACGTGTGGGCCCTGCAGCTGCATGCAGCCGTGTGTGCACAGTGTGACTCCATGTGGACCATGTGCATGCATGTCCTGTGCAGAAGGCTCCAGTGCAGCAGCTCCATCTGCACCCAGGACCCCAGCCACCTTCCATGGTAAACCCACTGCTGCGGCGGGCACAGGGGAATGGCACACCATCGGGAGAGGTGGGAGGAAGGAACAAGACACCTGGAAGGGGGGTCTGACCTCCTCAGTTTCACCTCTCCCGAAAGAGTTTAGGATGGGAGCAGCGCTCTGCCTCCACTCCAGGGGCTGCGCCTGAACCCACTGACCACCTGCCTGCCCACAGGTTGCGGCTCCTGAGGGCACATTAGAAAAACAGGGGCTCAGAGAGGCCACCAGCCACCCCCCACCTGCCCCTCACTACCACACCAAAGCCTTTCCGCCATCTCCAGCACACGGGTTCCTAGGACAGCCGAGGGCACGCACACCCAATCTCGCTGGCCCTGATCCTCACCACACGCAGGGCTGGACTCGCCTGCCTCTAACTGAGGCCCCACCTCAGATGCAGGCATGGCTGAGGTGTGCCCAAGGGCGTCTGGGGTGGTGGGGACAGTCCGTGGCCTCAGACTTGCCTGTCCCAGAGCCACATAGTGCTGAGGACGACAAGAGAGGCCAGCGCACGCACCTTCATGTTGGGGATGATGCGCAAGAACCGGAACACAATGAGGATGTTCACCAGCCGCATCATGTCCCACAGCGACAGCAGGCCCCGCATCTCTGGCTTCCTGGGGAGATGCACGGGCAGAGTGGAGGCCAGAGACCCACCAGGGGACGGAGGTACGCAGTAGGGCATGGCCTGCAGACAGCCACACACGGACCTCACGATCACACCTCCCGGGGCAAAGACCCAATCTATAAAGGTCACTGAAGTCCTGAACTGGGCGCTCAGATCCCGGCAGGACAGGCCCTTCCCCGACCCCATTTCCAGACTCCCACCCTCCACTGTTCCGTGTCTCCCACCCCATTCCTCGGCCCCTGACCTCCAACCCTCTTCCTGTGCCCCTCACCCCAGACCCCATTTCCTGTGCTATGACTCAGTCCCACCCCTTGACCTGGCCCTGCCCCACCTGGCCCTGCTTGGGGTTTCTCTGTGTGCCCCTTGCCCAGAACATCCACCCACCACTCCCCGGCAAGGACCAAGAAGAGGACAGGGTACAGTGCACACTAGAGACAAGGGGACGCCTGTCCTGAGGTGCAAGCGGCACAGCATCTTGCCACCAAGGTGCTGGCCAAGCAGCTCCTGCAGGGCACCCAGGTCCCGGCACTGTGTCCTCCTGCAAGCTCTGGGCCCAGGCCAGCCCCCAAGCCCCTCCACGACGGGGCCACCTGTCCTGGCCTGCACTGTGCTCTGGGACATGCTCACGGCACCAACCGGTTCCTGACAGATCCTGGGACAGGCACCACACCAGCAGGCGTCCACCACACGTGCCCTCTGACTGGCCAGAACCGGGGCCCATGGGCACAAGCCCTAGCCCCACCACTTACAGGGGGTAGACTGTGGAAGGGGACAACCAAAGGTCCCACATAGGACAGGTACTCCCTCCAGGACCTTCCTGGAGCAGAGGGGCCCAGCTGATCCCAGTGATCACCAGTCCCCAGGCCTGAGTTTGGGGGCTTGGGGAGTGTCTGCTTCTGGTCCTCAGCACCTCAGGGGCCACAGGCCCATGGCAGTGCTGGGACAAGGAACCCCTGCTGCTCAGGAGGGCACCTCAAGGGGGCCACTGCCCAACGCCTGGGGCACCAGAACAGACCCTCACGAGCACAAAGAGGCTGCCCCCTCCCACCAGGCAGGCCCCGCCCTGGCCGAGCTCGCCTGCTGCACCACGCAGAGAAGGCCTGGGCCACCGGAGGCACGGGGTGGGGCTGCCAATGGGGCCCCCAGGGTTCTCCTGGGTCACATACCAGCCTCGGTAGGGGAACCCGTACACAGCCAGCATGAGGATCTCCAAAACCTTCAATGACAAAAGAAAGCCTTGTAGAGCAACGCCAACCCGCAGCCTTCCAACAACCCGAGCTGGCGCGCGACCAACGCGTTCTCCCCAAAGGCAGAGGTCAGCTCCGTCTGCACCCCCATGGTTTGGCTCCAGATGACAGGAATTGTGTCACTCTGGCCTAGGAGTTGCAGACACAGGAGCAGCTCAATCAAGGACAGACGGGAAGGCCCCGGGTTCTCCTGCAGCGTGGTCAGGGGCAAATGCTCCCATGGACCACTCCAGAGTCCTGCTGCCCCGCCCCCAGGCCCAGCATCTGGGGAAAGGCGTGGACACTCCTCTGAGGGCACCCTGGGCACCTGAGCACACCAGCAGGCCCTCCCCCACACCCAAGGTCACACTGAGGGTGGAGTGTGTGCGGGCCTGAGGGGCCCTCACTCCACTGCACTTGGACGCTGTAGAAACCCCACCTCCTGCAGCCCCCGGTACCTGCCAAGCAGCTCAGTTGGGCTAGGCCAGCCCCCGTCCCTGGAGGCAGGAGCCCAGCTCCCTAGGCACTTGGGTCCTCAGCAAAGCCTCAGACCAGCACAGGCCGAAGGCACAGGCCGAGCCCACAGCACGCGAGAGGATGGCCGGGCATCTCCAGCCTTACCAGCAGAGCCAAGGTGACGAGGCCGTCGAACAGGTTCTCGGGGTAGGACAGGTAGCCCCACGGGCCCAGGGCGAAGACCTTGAGCAGCAGCTCCAGCAGGTAGTACATGATGAAGACGCAGTTGAGCACCTGAGGGAAGAGGCGCCTCAGCCATCGCGGCCCTGCGGCCACAGCACCCGGCACCCTGCTCTGCCCGTCTCCCCACCCAGGCCTCCCCAGGGCTCCCGGCTCACAGGTGGCTTCCCAGTCCCTGGTGAGAGTTTGGGGGGGCTCCTCGCCAAAGGTGGTCTCCACCGGTAAATAAAATAGCCAGTGGCTCTCCCCTCCAGGCGGCCACAGGACTCTCCCACACCACAGGCCCACAGCCCTCAGGGAGGCGCAGGTCACGTTCCCAGGTGTGTGGCCTGCCTCCTACTCCCAAGTGAACGTGGCCTCCGTCCTCCTGGGAGGAGGTGACCACTGAGGAGGAGGAACACACACCCGACTGCACGGAGGCGGCTGCGTGGAGGGGCTGAGCATGGAGCCCCTGGAGGGCCAGAGCTGGCTGCCTGCGGGTGGGTCCGCCTGGTGGCCCTCCCGACAAGCTGCTCCAGTGTGGAGAGCCCGGAGGAGGCCCAGGCTTCACCCCAGCACAGAAAGACAAGCAAAGCTAAGACAGACAGACAGACAGGCCTGCCCCAGGCTTCTCAGGAGGAAGAGCAGCCAGCCCGGGAGCCCCCTGGCGCCGGCCAGGGAAAAGCCCGACATGAAGAAGGGGAAACGGGAAACGTGGTCTTCCCAGAGAAGCGGAAGCCAGTGGAGCGCCACCCCCACACTGATGGAGTGACACCCTCCACTCCAGGCCTCACGTGACAACGAGGTCACTTTTTAATTTGGCAAATCGAGCTTCACTCTTAGCTTTATTCTTAGGTAACGAGGGAACGGCATGGTTTCAGGGACTCGGCAGAGCCCCTAAGGCAGGGGACACAGCAGGGTGCTGGTGGCTCTACCGACTGCCCGGGAGAAGAACTTCAGCTCTCTGAGGGATTTAACAGAGCTCTCCACATGAGGTCCAGGGCCAACAGCCAGCTGCCAGCTGAGAGCGGAGGGCCAGGAAGACCCTGCCCACGGGCCCCCAGCTCTCCCGGCCTCCCGCCACGGCGCCACGCTGTGCTCTGCACCAGGCCACCCTGCCTCGCTTCTCCTCAACACAGCGGACGGCCTGCCAGGCCAGGGATCCCAGGGCTTACCCCTAGGACAAAGTTGTCCCGGTCACTGGGGGCCACGTCCTCATCCAGCACCAGGAACACCTACGAAGCCAGAGCAGAGGGCAGCTCGCAGCGCCAGCAGGACACACGGCAGGCAGCACGGCCAGGGCAGGGGGCTTGAGAGACCCGCCTCCCACACCAACAGGGGCAGCCGGCGCTCACACAAATGGACACGAGGTTCGCCAGGGTGATGCAGTTGCCCAGGTAGTCAAAGTAGCGGTGGCCGAAGAGGAACTGGGCGCTCTGCAGCAACGGGGACCGGTAGCAGGGCCTCGGCGGGTGCTGAGGAGGGAACCCGCAGCTCAGAACCACACGGCGGCAGGCCCGGCCGTCGAGGAAGCAGTCCCAAACCGCCTCCCCGCCACCAGGGAGCCACGACCCCACGGGCACCTCAGCAAGCCACCCTGGGACCCACGGCCATGTTAGGTGCGTGCACGGCTCACAGCCTGACACAGCCAGGCGCAGCGGGAGCGCCAAGGGCAGCAGGAGCCCAGCGCCGCCGTGGGAGTTCCGGCCTGGCCCCTCACGAGACCAGCACTTCCCAAGCTCCGTGGCCTTGCTTCAGACACCTCCCGTGTGCACAGGATGGGGACGAACAACCCGGCAAACCACACGGAAAGCCAGAGACTCAGCAGGGAAGGAGGTGCTCAGGTGTCCACGGGAGTCGCCCACCACACGTGGGCATTTCCTTTCAACCAGTGAAGTCAGACACCATTTCTGTGGCAAAGGCCACAGGTCAAGTGCCGGGCAGCCCCACATGAGAGGCCACTGCGGCAGGTGGGCAGAAAGAGAGCAGTTCGTCCCCACAAGGTGTTCCACACGCAAAAAGAGAAGATGCAGAAGACACGGAGGCAGAGGAGGGGCTGCAGGAGGAGAGCACGGGGCCTGCACTCAGAAGGGGCAGGGGCTGCCGTGGCCTCTGACTCACGCAGCTCAGAGGCCAACCACGCCGGGCCACGGGAACAGAGGCCTCAGCAGTCAGGTCCCGTCCCTGGGCTCCCAATTCATCCTTCACCACCTGCCCCATGGCGACAGGCCAGTCCCCAACAACATCCCTGGCCACCAGTGAGCATGAGGAACGCTGGACGTGGTGGGAGTGCAGGCTCTGGGTGCCCTCTGGGGTGGGGCAGGGGTGCGATAGGGGGACATCCAGAGTCCTCCAGCCACATGGTACTCCAGGTGACCCAGAGCTGCAGCCTGACCTGGCGACGTGGAGGCCAGCGCCCAGAGGCCACCTACCTCCAGCACACCCTGACCACTGGCAGCCTAGGTGCCATACCAGGGACCACTGCCTCCTGCATGCCCACCACCTGAGAGCTGAGCCGCAGCACAGAGGACTGAGCGGCCTGGGGAGGGGTCCACTCTGTGCCTGACCACACACGGACACCTTGGCCAACAGAGTTGAGCACCCCATCACAACCGCACAGTCACACGGAGAAAGCACTTCCACGCTGCATGTGACGTGGAATGACAAATCATGTGATCGGATGGGTGGCCTCCAGGGGCAGCGAGGGGGCTTCGCCACCCTTTGTTATTGTCTACTACAGCCACCGCTTCGTCTTTAACCCAAAGCCCCTCGTTAAGAGGACAGGCTTCTTTGGAAACTGGCAGGGCGGTCTCACTTGCAGCTCGTCAGCAGCTCATCAGCATGAATGGACCAGCAACCTGGGCAGGGCCAGGATGATGGACAGGAGCTGACCTCCCGAGTGCCCATGACTCTGAAGGGGCCACCAAAAACCACAACCTGCCCGCCGTGGTGGTGGACGCCTATGATCCCTTCTGGAGGCTGAAGCAGGAAGACCTCAAATTTCAAGGCCAGTCAGCACAACGTTAACGAGGCCCTGTCTCAAAATAAAAACGTCCAAGGGCTGGAGGGGTCGCTCAGTGTGGAGCCCTGGCCTGGCATGCTCAGGGCCTGAGTTCCACCCAACGTCCAGCCTTCCTGCTCCTCACTGCAACTGAAATACGCCCCCTGCCCGCAGCCTGTGGGGAAGAGGGTGGCATCCAAACAAGCTGCACCACAGCTCTCAGGACTCTACCCCAAACTCTACCCATGGAAGAGCAAACTGGCAGGCGGGGAAGGACAAGGCCAGAGCAGGGATGTGGCTCCAGTCCTGGCCTTCGTGGCCCCAGCCCGCCCTAGCCTGCTGCCCTGGATCTCGACAGCCACAGCCCATCTATCTTCCCTGCCTCCTGGAGGCAGCACCGTCTCATGGACACCCACAGGTCCTGGCACTGGGAGAGGGCAGGAGAGTGAATGTGACTGTGACCACAGTACCCCCAGGTCTGCAGACGGCTGCCAGGGACAGCCAGAGGCCAGTGGGCATCACTGGGAGAGCTGGGGAACCAGAACCCTGGGTGGCCAGCTGCAGGAGAGACACCACCCACTACACACCCACCACGCTCCGGGCCCTGGTGCTACAGAGGGGGCCTCCACCTGGGGCAGGAGCCACCCCCTGCAGCAGGCTACACAGAGGCCTGCTGGCCGAGGCCGTCCCCAATCCACGCTGACCTCCAACACACTCACTCTGCACCTCCAGGTGACTCCACCTGACAACTCAGAGGCACCCTGTCCCAAGCAGGGGTGTGGTAGCTGAACACACACAGTGTCCCCTGCTGAAGTATCACTAGCACTGCCAGGCCCCAGGAGGGACACCCCAAACGATGACAGGGACAAGCTCACACACCATCCCACGCAGGTCGAGGTGGCCTAGAGACACCTGAGGAAAGCACGTCCTGAAGAAAACACGTGACAGGCTGAGCCCACGGGGGGCCAGCAGGAGCCTGGCTAGCCGACAGCCCAGGGCAAGCGCTGCCTCCCAACTGTCCCTCTGCTCAGCGCAGGCCGGTACCCCAGGGGCGGCTGCACCTGGAAATGGGGCTTTTGAGAGTTCAGCAAGTGAACACAGGCCTTCACGGGAGGACCACGTGAGGAAGGCTCTCGCCACCTGCAACCCAAGGACAGGCCTCGGAGGAGCCAGCCTTGATCTCCGACCCCCAGGCCCAGGATGTCAGACAAGGCCCTGAGCCTGCAGCCCCTGGGGCAGGCTTATTCCCGCGGCCTCCCTGCACAAACGTAGCAGGATGCGGAGGGCTCTGCCTCCTGTCCTAGCCCTGCTCAGGTTCCTGCAGGGTCCCCAGGCCAAGGAGTGGAAATGGCAGCCCCTCCACTGCCCCTCTGCTGCCCAGGACACCTCTGCTCCTTCCAGGCACCTCCGCCCACCAGAACCTCTACACAGTGCTGAACTGGAGGCCAAGGTCCATGGTAGGATGAGAGGTGGAGGCTGTGCAGAGACAGTACTCCACCTCCAGGGCGGACAGGACCCCAGGAGGCAGCTCCCCGGGCAAGCCTGGCCCAGGCCAGCTCCCAGCGCTGGTCTATTTCTTCAGACCAGAGCAAACTGGCAGACGGGGAAGGACAAGGCCAGAGCAGGGACGTGGCTCCAGTCCTGGGCCTTCATGGCCCCAGCCCGCCCTAGTCTCCCCAGTTTGCAAAAGCCAAATGACCTCCACCCACTGCCCATGAGGGGAAAGACCCCAGCAGACAGCATTAGAAGAACGCAGAGTCCCCGCGCACCCTGGTGGCCCTGGGCTGGGCAGGTGGCACAGGCCCGCCCCGTTACCTCTCTGACCACACCTCTGTCGACCTCACTGAAGATTTTCTGGAACTCGTCAGCTGACAGCAGCACACCATCAAGGGAGCGCACCTTCTGCGGAGGCAAGCCTGTCAGCAGGCCGCAAGGGGACTGCCACGCCCCAGCCCCAACCCCACGGGCCGTGAGCGCTGGCCTCGGAGAGCCCACAGGCTGGGCAGACATGGGAGCAGCTACCTCCATGATGGTCTGCTTTTGGGAACTGCTCAGCTGGGCTTTCTCAAGCACCTGCAGGAAGTCCTGGGGCATCACCCCAACTCTGTGGGACGGAAACCCGCCAGTGAGCACTGCCCCGTGGCAGCCCGCCCCGGCCTCCCCGGCACTTGTCCTGAATACCCTCACTGCCCTGGGCAGGGCCTGGCCTGAGGGGCACCTCCCAGCAGCACCCCCTGCAGGGGTGGTACAGCCACCAGCATCTAAGACCCAGGGAGACACTCGTCCCCTTCAGAGGAGCAGACTCTACTGCCACCAAGCAGCAGGTCCAGAATGCTCTCACTGATGCCCTCGAGCTCTCTGCCCACGTCCACAACACAGCAGAGTGGACGCCTGGCCCAGGCAGGAGCCAAGGCAGACATGAGAACAGCAGGAGCCCAGAGAGTATTTTCAGGATTCCAGATGAACCCGAGCCCGTGGCCAGACAGCAGGGGCTGTTGGGGAGACCCCTCGGGGATGCCCAGACCCCACCCAGGGCAACAGCCCCTTTCCTGGGGAGAAAGGGCCCTGGCCACACTCAGGCCTGGAGAACCCCAGCCTACCCTGTCAGGGAGCAGAGGACTTCGTAGGCAGCACGGGTCCCCAGCCGCCTCCGGAACAGCGAGGTCTGCAGAGATTTCTGCAAGGAGGACGCTCTGAGCAGTGGACACCCCCACACCCCGCCGGCCCCTGCCCCTCCCCGTCCCCCGAGGGTGGGCAGACGGGAGGCCCCAGCAGCCTCCAGGGAAGCCAGCCATCCTCGGCCTCTCACCCCTCAAACAGGGGATGACAGATCCCAGGGGGGCTGTCCTCAAAGGAGGGAGGTGGCCAAGGCTCAGGGGAAGTGAAGCCCACTGGCTCACTCCTGTGTGGGTCCCTGGCAGCTTCACTCTAAGGTTTGGGACAGCTCTGGGGACCCTGGGTAGCCACGGCAACAACTCCTGCACGCCCACAATGACTCAAGGCAATGACACAGGGTGTGTCCCGGCTGGCTCACGGGAGGCAGTGGCCCCTGCCTGACCCACATGGCCTTCAAGGCTGAGGGCTACCCCCTGGCCTGCTGGGGCCACTCCACGCTGGGTCTGAGGACACTTCCAGACACAGCCCGCAACGCAGCTCGCCTCACCATGAGGTAGCCCCGGAACTGGTTGTAGATGATGGCGGTCAGCAGATTCATCAGGAACAGGCTCCCTGCCACAGAAAAGCCTCGGTCAGCTCAGAGTGGCCTGGAGCCCCAGCATGGCAGGTCCTACACACTCCCCTGGGCAAGGTGAGTGGGCACAAAGAGGACTAGAGACTACGGTGGCCGCAAGACTCCTTGCTCGCAGCAAGACAAACACCTCAAGGGCCTCACGCCCCATCTATGAGTGGGCACAAGCAGGCCAGGCCGGCCCGGGTGGAAGGATGGACGAGGGCAGCCAGGGGTGGCAGGGAGGCAGGACCGGGCGGGGGAGGTGTCTGCGGGGTCCGGGTCAGGGCACACCTGAGCACCGGGGCTGTGGCCTGGGAGGCTCCGCCCGACGGGGCGCTCACCTATCAGGGTGAAGACGATGAAGAAGATGGCATAGGCCCGGTTCTCGGAATACGCAGGGATCATCACTGAGCAAGGAAGGGACCAGAGACAGAAGGCTCGAGCCCGCAGGGACCCTCCCAGCTCCCATGTGACTCGGGCCAGACGCCCCACAGCACAGGAGGCTGTGGGAGAAGTAAGGCTTCTGGCTTGAACCCCAGCCTGTCACCTTGGGCCCTTCCCGGGATAGGAAGGTCCCATGGAGGTCCACGGAGGACAGTCAACCCTGGGCCACGCTGAGATCAGCCTCCCTGCGGCCATATCCCCTTCCCCACAGAGACTGGCAGGGTCTCACAGCACAGGGGGACCAAGCTCAGGGCAGGGTGCTTGGCTCTCCCGGGTGGGCATCCCAGGCTGCCCGTGGGGAAGGCCTCATTGGTGCGAGCATCCCTAAGCCCAAATGAAAGGCACCAGCCAGCGTGGCAGAGCCACAGCCAAGCCCACGAGGCCAGAGGCCTCCCTTCTGGGTACAGCTGCACCTGGGCAGGTGGGGGACCTGCCAGCACCCATCACAGCCAGCCAAGACCCCAGGGTCTCTCGCATGCAATGCTCCCCAGCAGCACGCACCTCACGCTGGGCCTGGGCAGCGGCAGGGAAAGTGGCTGGGCCCCCGTGAGGCTGCCAGAGGGCCCACTGACCACCGCCATTCATCGTCACACAGAGAACACGGCTCACAGTCAGCTTCTCCAAGGAGAAAGGAGGCAAGATGCAGGAAGCAGGAGAAGCAGGAAAACAAGGAGCCAGACAGAAAGACAAGCAGCAAGAAGGGAGAGAGGGGTGAAAAACAGGAAAAAACGACAGAGGACTCCAGAGTCACCCGTCCCCTGGTTGGACAGCCCTGGACGCTCCCTCCAGGCCGCGGGGCTCCGCCCAGGCCACCTGCCCTGCCCACCCGCACACACCGTCAGGGTTGTTGGCCGTGGTCAGCAGCACCAAGAGGGAAGTGAAGGCGTCCAGGAGGCTCTGGAAATAGGTCAGCCTCTCCTTTTTCTCATGTTCGTCCTGCCGAGAGCAGAGGAGGCTCTGGGAAGCCACACCGGCCCTCACCCCACGGCTGGGCCTCCAGTCGGCCGACCTTGGGACCCAGCAGCCAGGACCATCCACCAAGCTGTCCTCATGTACTGCTCCTCCACCCACCCGCCCGGGTGTGCTGAGCATGGACTGGTGGCAAGGGCACCACAAACTCCTGGAGGGGAGGACTTCACAGGCTCCAGGGGCCTGTCTGGCACACAGCCCCCACAGGGCCTCAGCAGGGCCAGGATGGAGCAGGAACGCAAAGGGCCAGGGTGTGGGCAGCAACTGGATGTGAGCTTGGCCCTCCTGGGCTTGAAACAACCCACCCCCCAGGCCTAGCGGGCTCTGAGCTGACCGAGGAAGGCCTCAGCCCGGCACCTGGCACCCAGCGCACAGCACCCGGCACCCGTTTACAGACAAGGCCACCCCTGGTGGGGCGGCTCCCCAGGAGGCAGGCACCGCCCAGGGCCTGAACCCAGCAGGGCTCCTGCCACACCTCTACAGTCAATTCCTGTGGGGGCCGCCCCATGGGACCCTCCGACCCCAAGCCCCCAACCCAAGGCCCACCCTGTGGGGGAGCAGAGGAAGCCTGGGCCCAGGGTTTCTGCCCCACCCACTGCCAGCGATGACAGGCTGGCCTGGGGCACGGTCCAGAGGTGGGATGTACACTGCTCCATGGGACCAAGCCCTACACCACCCCAGTCCTCAGAAACACCTCCAACCAGACTGCAGGGGGACAGCCCGCATGCCGAGCAGGCTGGCCCCGGACTGTGCTTACCAAAGGTGAAACGAGGTCAGGCACTGGGACAGGGGGCACGAGCAGGGGACACTGAGCAAGGCCACCCAGACCTACAGGCGCAGGTTCCCAGCCTGCCTTCCAGGCCAGGCTAGAGAGGGTAAGAACCTCACGGGGCCAGTCACCACCGCCCGCCCCGCCCACTCCAGCCAGGCAGGGAGCGGGGCTCTGCCAAGACCAAGGGCAGCATCTTCCTGCGGGTGCTCAACGTCACCCTGCGCAGCCAGCTCCCCTGCTGGGGCCAAGACCCACCTGGAGGGGGAGCCACACTCCCAGAAGCTGGGGACACTTAGCACTCCCAGGCTAGAGGCTAAGGACACCTCCACCCACACTGACTCCGCCTCCCCTGGGCTCTGGAAGCGGGAATTGACGACCACCCTCATGGGACAGTCACTGGGGGGTCAGCAGTAGGGCCACCTTCACAGTCCAGCAACTGCCCTGTCACCTAGGGACACACCCAACAGACACAGACACACCCCAGACACAAGCACGGAGGTGCACACAGGCACACTCACACACAGAGACATGAAGACGTGGAGCCGTGGCTCAGGCTGACCCCTCTCCCGGGTTAGAAGTGCACCTGGCTCCCCTCCTGGGCGGCACAGCCCCAACCCTAGAGGTTCTTCAAACTCACAAAAAACAGCCCTGACTGCTGACCACGACCAGCCACATCCCAGGACAAAGGAGTAAAGAAGAGGGTGGCCAAGGCCTGAGGCAGACAGTGACCCCAGCCAGGACATGAGGGCAAACACAGAGGATGGAAAGTGGGGGGCCCACAGCAGGCATCGAGGCCAGGTGACAGGGGCACACCCTCATACAACACCAATCTGCTGGGGGTCAAAGGCTCAGCTGGGGCTGGGCAGAGCGGGGATCAGGGTCAAGGGCTGGAGACAAGGATGTGTTGACAGGGGCACTCCCAGAAGCCAGTGCAGACCCAAGGGGCCCCAGTCAAGGAGGGGTGCAGAGGAAGGCTCAGTGTGACGCCCGGTAGCCCCTTGGGGAGGGACCTACGAACTACCTCCTGGACAACCGGCAGGAAGGTGGCAGGGGTGGCGCAGGATGGGAACAGTGGCCCCAAGCCCAGGAGAACTGGGGCCATCAGGGCCCCAGCAGTGGGGCGCTGGGAGCACTAGGGCCCCTGAAGATAGACCTTGGGCTCAAGGTGGGCCACATGACTCCTGGTTACACAGTTCAGGCAGGGCCGCGCCGGCCCTCACTCCCTCCAGCCTACTGACTCCACAGACACCGTGCGCAGACCTTGCTTGAGGGTTAGCCAGTGCAGAGGACAGCCCAGCCCCACCTCTGGCCACGCCCACCACCTCACCTCCTCGCCCACGGTGAACAGCAACGTCCCAAATATGGTGAAGAGGCAGAGGTGGACAACCAGCAGCAGCCCGACGCTGGGGAGAGGGCGGGGCTCAGCACCCACCAGGTGTAGGCCCCAGCCGACTGGCCTAGGGGGCACCTGGGGCAGAGTCAGGCACAGCCATCCCCTCCTGTCCCCAGAGGATCTGCTGAGCACTCAGCCCAAGAGGCTGGAAGATGGCCTGCTCCTGCCTCGCAGAGCCGGCCTTCTGTGGTGGGACAAAGACAACCCCAGGGCCATGACCCAGGGCCCAAGGCCACCTCCATCCTTCCGGCTGAATGAGAGGGACATCAGCCAGATGTGCCACCAAGGAAGGGATTCAAGGCAGAGGGAGGACCATGAGTGACATTTCTGTGGGCAGGGGAGGGGACTTATGGAGAGCTAAGACTGGCCCCAAAAGCCCCAACTTTCTGGTGATGACAAGGACTTGCAAGCAGGGACGCCATCTGAACTTTTTAACACCCAGCAGCAGCCACAGAACTGCGGGTGGAAAGAGTGGAAGGAGACGGCGGAGCAGGGGCAGGGGACCGCCACGGGAGCACAGGGGCAAGCAAAGACCTGTCAGGGGGCACCCCAGTACCAGCAGCCACAGGGGAGGAGCAGCAGGTCTGCCAGGGCCTTTAAGGGGGCCGCCAGATCCAATGACCTCCTCAGAGCGCCAAAGCACCCAGTGGGCCTCTCAGGCAGCACTCTGGGCAGGAGTGCCCAGGCCAATCCTCGGGCCCTCAGGCTATGCACTTGCACGGGAGCCTTGCAGCCCCAGGAACCCAGAGCACACCTGGCCATCTCTGGCAGCGACCACCGGATGCACTTCAAGGTCTTCTTCATCATGGAGGAGTTCTGCAGCAGGAAGAAGGGGCGGAGGAGCCGGCGGATGCGCAGACGCTGGAAGAGCCCAGGGCAGACTCAGAACCCTGTCTGTGTCCTCACTTGTACCCACCCCTGCTATCCCAGGGGCAGACATCCCAGGGGACTCAGGCCCATCGAGGGCCCTGCTGGATTCAGCACCAGCCTGCCAAGCTCAGTGGCATGTCACGGCCATCCCTTCCTCTCTAGCTTGCCCTGGTCCCCCATGACAGAGCCAGCTGCACTGTGGAATGACACCTGGGTCTGGCGTTCCTCAGGGATCAGCAGCCTCTCCCTCACACAGAACCTGGGTCCCACTGGATAAGGTCCACCAGCACCCGGCACGGCAGGCCCTCTAGAGTGACCCATCCAGGAACTTGCTGGCCCTCTCTGGGTTGCATCTGTCATCCTTGGAAGGGCCCCAGCCCCGGGCATGGGCTGAGCAGGCCAAAGGGAATAGAGGTGACCTAACAGAGCTAGGGGCTCCAGCCTGCCCCGGCTCTGCAGGGGCATGGGTACCCCGCATGCCCAGACGCAGTCACAGGCTGCCCACAGGCAGAGGCTCTGGTCTTGTGGTCCAGCATCACAGGGCTCCCCCCACAGGCCATGTAGCATGACAGCCCCACTCAGCAGCAGGGAAGGACAAAGGTCAGTTAGGATATGACAGGGCTGTTTCCGTGCCGTGCATGGGTCCTGGCAGGCGGGGGCCTGCTCGTGCTTACCAGTGGACTCTTCCCACCACCCCTCCTCGCCCTTCTCAGTGAGGTTAGGTTGGTAACTCAGCCCATGGGTTAGAATATCTGCTGGCCAGTCAGGCGGATGCCCTGACTGTCACTCAGCTTCACGATTGCTGGGCTGTCCTCCCCTTCTCAGACGAGAGAAGGGCAGCACTTATGGGAGAGCCAGAGGCTGCCCCTCATAGCAGCAGGAGGCCGTGGAGGGGGCTTTCCCTCTCGGGCAGTGGCTCCCTGCGCTCATGGGCCTGGGTCTGCCAGCTGGAGGTGGGAGGGCACCACACTTCCTCCTCTACTGCATTCCCAGCAGCAGCCCCCGCTGGGCCACCCCTCCCAGAGGTCCAAAGGCAAGGAAGGTCCCAGCTCTGGAGTCCCCTCCCAGGGGCTTCAGGTGCCAATATGCCAACAACCCCACCTCTTCCTCTGGTTCCCCGGTATCTGCGTGGTCTTTCTCCACTTCTCCCTACAACAGCACCCGATGGGTCTCCTTCCCCCACAGACCCCGACAGACGCGGCTGAGAGCGGCCAACCTGTCACCGCTCGACACCACCAAGGCACCAAGGGTGCTCTGCAGGGAACAAAGGCCCTGCGGTCAGGACTCTGGGGTGGCTGTGGCTGTGCAACGCTGCTAGGTTGCACAGAGCTTGGGGTAGGGCTCTGGGCATAGCAAGGGACCAGGGTGGCACTTCCATGGAGACCCAGGCAAGTGAGTCTGGCTGCCAGGCGGGCTGAGGGCCAGGAGCTAGAGGCCCAGGATGTGCTCCCAGGTCACCCTCTCACGCTCGGGATGCCCAAGGACGCCTCCTGCCTTCTCCAGGCAGCGGGTCCCCATGCGCAGGTGGGAGCATGTTCCCTGCCCAGCAGGAGCCCAAGGGCTCAGGGCGAGGGCAGCGCTAGGCAAACGGACAGCAGCACCTGTGCCCCACAACCCCAGGGAGCTCCGCCACCTCAGAATGTCCTCACCACGCACCTCCTGACAAAGGAGACAGAGGGACACGGTCCAGTCCACAACAGACACAGCCAGCACCGCGATGTAGGCCAGCAGCCACACATTCCTCTGGAACTGGGCGCGCCCGACCAGGAAGCACTGCAGGAGACGAGGGGGAGCGGTGAGCAACGCGCCTGCAGCCAGGCGGGGACGTCAGTGCCCACGGGAGGAGCCCACAGAGCAGGAGACTGCCCCACAGGGCCACCTCCACGTGGTCAGGAAGTAGCCTCTGGCCAAGAGCACCACCACTAGCTGTGCAACCTCAGGCCTAGCCCTCAGCCTCGCGGGCCTCAGCGTCCTCCCTGGTCACAGGGTTCCCAACTTGCCCATGCAAGCCACCAGTGCAGGAGGGCAGGCTGGGAAGGCATCCTGGGGGGACGGACAAGACAGCGCCCCAGCACAGGGCACCTGGACCACAGCAGGAGGTGACGTGGGCTGGGCTTTAGTCTGCTCTTCCCCATCCTAACCGCCACTCCCACCAGCAAGACAGCCTCCTGAGGTCACCCCTGCAGATAAGAGCAGGTGGCCACTCTCGTCTAAAGACCACCAAATGCACCAGCCACTCAGAACAGCTCACATCAACTTCTTACCAGTTTTGGTTCCAGTTTAAAAATCCCCAGACCTGTTGACCGTTTCTGGGTTAAAAAGAGATGGGGAGGGCTGGGCTAGGGCTCAGGGCAGAGCGCCTGCCTAGCACGGGGGAGGCACTGGGTTCAAGTCTCAACACCTCATATAAGCAAGATAAATAAATAAAGGTCCACCAACAACTAATAAAAAAAAAAAGATAGAAGAGCTGCCAGGGCCTGCGTGTCTCTGCACACCCCCCAGCGTCCAGCCACGCAACCCACCCCTCCTACGAGGGACTGCAAGGCAGGCTCCCAGCAAAGGTACCGCACAACCAGGAGGCACGTGCAGCCTGACCCAGGCCGTGGGGGCCCTGGGACCACAGTTCTGGAAGGCTTCACACAGCCCCCAGAGTGCCGGCCCTTCCGTGCCCAGTGGGGGAGTTGGAGGCTCCTAGGCCGACAGAGCCACAGGCCCACATGAGCCAGAAGGGCCACCTGCAGCCTCCAGAGGGATCTTGTCACAGACAGAATTGAGAGTCAGATGTGCAGCAGCCACTGTGTGGGCAAGAGACCCCTTTCTGTCCCACACCCTCCTCTTTAGGGGATGACAGGGTGCCCTTAGGTGAGACCACTCAGTCCTCTTGTGTGGCCGCACTGTCCCCCCACAAAGGTCAGCCTCTGAGTACTCCCAGAGGCACCCCGGCCGCCCACCATACCTTCACAGACACGTCGGTCATGAAGACCAGCAAGCACAGCCCCTCGATGCCCTCGGTCAGGCCACAGGGCGGCTCCCAGTGCAGGGAGCGGTAGCGCACGTCGGCAGTCTTCGTGAGCGAACACGGGGTCTCAATAAAGGCCAAGGCCAGGATGGAGAAAATGGTGAAGTTGAGGATCCTGGGAAGGAGACAGAACATGGTCAAGGCACAAGCAGCAGCTGCCCTCAGAGACAAGAAGTGCCTGGCAGGCAAACGGCAGGCCACTCGGGGACAGCAGGAGCTGGCCCCTCCCGGCCCAGTACCGCCCTGGGCTGGCCGAGCATCCTGAGAAGGGAGCTCTCGTCACCCGGAGCCCCACTGCCCTCACGAGGGCTCCTGCCTCAGGGAGACTAACGCCCCGTCTGAGCCCACAGGGAGGGTGCCCACCTGGACAGAGGCAGGTAGAGTCTAGAATGGGTGAGGCCACCACCCCCACCAAGCAGGACATGGCACCCCACACCCCACAGGTGCAGTCTCACCGCTGGCACGCGTTCGAGTAGTAGCATCGGTAAAGCCGCATCGAGCCGGCGTCCATGCGGTGGGAGATGGAGCGGTACTGGGAGGGAAGGGTCACAGGGAGGACGTGAGCAGGGCCCTTCGGCAATGCGGAAGTCCTGACGGGCGTCCCCACATTACCACAGGCACAGCCAACACAGGGCACACCCGGCGACCCACTCGGACAAGCCCAGGGGTAGGGATGGAATCTGTCCCTCTCAGGCAGGATCTGTGTCAGCGCGTGGCCCCGGCCCCAGGTGCCCCCCGGCTGCAGCTGTAGACCCTCTCAAGCTGCCAGATTTGCCAGGCAGACGGAGTTCCCCAAAGGCCAGCTGACTAAGGGGACACTGGAGAAGATCTGCAGAAGGCACAACTATGTCCCTGCCTACCTACGAGGCTCTTCTATGTGTGAGGCCTGCCGCTGTCCCCAGCACTATGTCCTCCTCTGGGATGTAGCCCCACCTAGGACCTGGAGCGGGGAGGCCCAGGACAGGCCCTGGCATGTGGTGAATCAACACCTCAAGGACCGCAGTACCCAGTCACCTACCTCTTCACAGCAAGAACTCCAGGACAGCCACCAGGCCAAGGGCCCGCTGTCATGCTACTCTAACTCGCAGGCCAGCAGCTGAGGCCTTGACCCAGGACAGCAAGGACTGGAGGGGCAGGGAGATGCAGTGGCAGGGAGCCCGCACTCACCTGCATAGCATCTTCAACGAACACCACAGCCTGGTCGATGCAGAGGTCCCGACTGGCCACGGCGGCTGTGGGCAGAGAGGACACGTCCAGTGACCATGTAGGATCATGTGGCTTCACCCTCCATGGTGGTCTGACAGAAGAAGACCACTAGCCACAGATCCCTCACCCTGAGCTCAGCACCTGACACCTGGCCTCCGCAGGTCCCCACCAGAAGAGGAGCATGGCAGCCTGAGCTCCTGGCACCAGGCCTAGAGAGAGGCAGCTCTGCCCTCAGGCCACCACTGCCCAGAGGACAGAGTGCAGAGGACAGCTGCCCCCAGCAAAGCCCTATGGAGAGCAGCAGAACTCTGCAGAGTCCCAGTGCTAGACTGGGGTCCAGAGACCTCTCCCACCCGGGAACAGGCTCTGCAGGTGACTCCATTCTGCCCGGCAGGAGTGCTGACAGCCACTGCCCGGTTCTGAGAGGACGCTGTGAGGTACAATACGGAGTACAAGAGCCCCCAGCCAGTCTGGCACCCAAGTATGATCCATGACAGGGCTGTGTCACTCCTTAGCCGCTGGGTCCCACCACCAGCCTCCTGCATGTCCCCAGCATCCCCAACAATATAATGGGCCACCACGACCAGCCCACTCCACCCACCGAGGTCACAGAATCAACACTGACACATAAAATGGAAAGCATCGAATACAGAGACCAAGCAGAGTCCCAGGACCAGGAACCCAAGTCACCCAGGGAAGAGCCCAGGCAGCACCCAAATGCCAGGCCTCTTCCAGGCCCTCCCTGGCAAAGGGAGCTGTGTCCTTCACCATGTACAAGTTGGTTCTCAGGGCACAGGAGGTGGGGCCTCCTGGAGGCCCAGGTGATGGACGCAGCCAGCCCCTGACGGAGGGGGGCTTTCAGGAAGAGCCTGGCCAGCTGCTCACGGGCACCTCCCGCCCCTCACAGCACAGCCAGCAAGTCACCTCCCCGGGCTGACTGGCTCAGTCCCCACACATTCAACCACAGGCTCACCCTCAGGACCCTAACTGTTCCCACAGAGGGGCTGCGGTGTCCCAGAGTGGCTGTAAACAGACGCTATCTGTCTCTGTGCCCAGCACACGGCAGACCCCAAAGCTGACTTACCCAGTGGGCAATGAACAGCCCGGGGAAGCAGAGGGTCTGAGAGCCCAGCCACCACGCAGGTCCCTAAAGGAGGGACGGACACCAAACCACACTGTCCCTGTGGTTCACTTCACCTGGTTTCTGGTTGTTGGTCCTAAGATTCTGGGTCCAGCCATCAGAGCCCACCCAGCCCTCAGTATCCAAGGCAGTCCCACCTGAAGTCCCAAGGGATCTTGTCGCAAATCCCGGGAAGCCCACACAGCGTCCCATGAGTCCTCCAGGGTCACACTCCGTCCAGCCTGGTACTGCAGGGGGACCCCTCTGCCCACCACTGGCTCGTGCTGCTTCTCCACCCTGTCCCCCACCATGCCATTCATTGTGACGGTGGCCCCGCCAAGCCCTTACCCAGGCTGCTGCCTCTGCCAGGGGCACCGCCCCACCTTGTGGGAATGGGATCTCACCCTGGGCAGCTCACCTGCCCATCACGGTGGCAATCATCTGCCCACACCCCATCACCCCACTAAATGTGGGTCTGCAGGCTTGGGGATCCCTCACTCCAACTATTTCTCAAGCTGTAGAGGGAGATTTTGACCCGGAGGGAAAAGCACTCTTCCCAACCTTCGATGGAGCCCTGTTAGGTGGGCTGAGTCAGAAGGACCTGGCCACAGGGCCCCCCCAGGTCCTTGGGCACTCTATAGCAGCAGCTCCCCTCCCTGTGGAACACAGGGGCCATCTCAGAGCCCAGCACAGTGCTGGGACAGACACAAAACTGCCCTCACCACAGTGACAAGGCCAAGAGCCCTGAGACCCCCCTCATCAACACTGCCCACCCTGGCTCCTGTCTCAACAGCCAGGGTCACACCTGCCAGAAGTCCACTTGGCCAGGCTGGGACCTGCAGCCTCACGGCTCTCCTGCCCTGGACGGCCAGCGGCACCCATACCACCTCCCAGATGTTCTCTGAATCACACAGGCCCCTCCACCTATCATGGCCCCCTTTTACTGAGACTCAGAATGGATAAGCAACTGCCATCCTCACACAGCCAAGAAGTAGCAGCCCCAGAGACGCACCCAGCCCTCCAGACACAAAGCCTGTGTCCCCTGAACCATTCATGTATCCTGTCCCAGCCTGGCAGGGGCTGGAAGGATGTCTGGTCCCAGGAAGCAACTCAAGAATCTCCCTGGGGGCAGAAACAGTGTGGCCAGCTGGTGGCCAGCTCAGCTCTAGTTCCCTTATCTCCTGTCATGTCAGGCACCTTCAAGGATCCACCACCCCACAGGTGGTGGTCACTATCCCAACACAGTCCCCTCCAGGGCAGAGGAGGAAGAAGCCCAGAGAGGGAAGTGGCAAGGCAGGACGGTCCAGTGTGTTTCTAGCAGCAGCCACCCGTGACCTTGGGCAGTCTCGGGGCCTCTCCAAAGCCATTTCTTCCTGAATAAGATGACACAGCTCCTCCTGCCTCTGACCCAGCACCTAATTCCCCTGCAGTCAGCCAGGGATGGTGGACTCCACCCTCGCACCCTCCCAGAGATTCTGCAATCCCTGACCAGAAACAGGAAGGGCAGGATGAGGCTGGGGAGGGAGAAGGGCCCCAGGCCCACCAGCTGCTGGGGCCCACCTGCTGTGACCAGGCCAGGAAAGTCACTCCAGGAGTCTGGAATCCCCATGAGCCACTCCTGGCTTGTGACCTTGAGTGACACCTCCCTTGGGCCTCAGTTTCCCCCACAAGAAACAGGGAGAAGGAGGGGATGAGAGTGCTGCCTCCTAGGAGCCTTAAGGCCACCACGGAAACGCCGCCGTCTGACCAGCCCGGCACCCCGCGGGTGCTGCCCGACGTCCTCTTCCCCGGCCACGACCCCCCAGCGCCCCAACTCCGCCGGGCTCGGGACAGCTGCTCCCCTGCGCCCGGCCGCGCTCGAACGCCAGCCAAGTGGGGTCCCGGGAGGACTCGCGGGTGCGGGGACCGCGGGACCCTCGCGGGACCCCGGCCAGCCCGGCCCGCTCACCAGGACCAACTTGAACGCTGCGGCAAGTGGACAGCGCCTGAGGGCAATCGCCGTCACCGCTGCCGCTATGGGCCCGGCCCAGTAGCGGCTTGGACTCGGCCTGGAGCTCCGCCATCCAAACACCACGCGCGGGACCCGCGAGCGCCCCTTCACTGCGCAGGCGCGAGGCACGGGCCCTGGTGTTCGGGAGGAGGAGCGAGCGCTCGGTGAGCGGGGAAGCCCTAAACTGGCAGCCAATGAGAACTGAGGCCTCTAGCGTGGGGGCGGAGTTTACAGGGCCCGCCCCTCTGGTGGGACCAGTGTCCTTCCCGGGAGGGGCAGCTCCTTCGGGCTTCAACTACCTCCCGGGGCTGGGAAAGAATGCATTTCCCCTTACTGTTGGGACCAGAAACTGAGCGTCCCCTGGGAACTTTTTAATAATGCAACTCCTTGGGCCCTCCCAGACCTCCTGAGTGGGGAACAGGGCCCAGGACTACGTTTTAACACGCATTCTGGGTGATTGTGATGCATGTGAATATTGGGTAGATGGGACATCCACAAAAGCCAACCCCCAAAGTGGAACTTGAGTTTGTCTTCGGATAATTAGAGAAGGTAAATGTAATCTAGGGTAAAGTTTAAAAACACAATTGACACACTTGAAAAAATATTTACAACATATGTTAAAAAGTGTTTTCAACATGAATATGTAAAAATCTCATGTTGGTTTTCTGTCGCTGAAATGACAAATTACCACAAATTCAACTAAAACAGCTCCCATTTACCTAGCAGTCCTGGCAGTCCAAAGTCCAAGGCTGGACTGAGTTCCGGTCTCCAGACCTCCCCGGCCACTCTGGGTTCTTCACCTGTAGACTGAAAATGTACTCCCCGCCTCTTCAGTGTGCTGCGGAATTTGTTCGCCAGCACTGAAGCTCACCTCTACTTGCTGGATGTTGGCGGCTGGTGGTTCTCAGGTCCTGGGGGCCATCCCGTTGTGGCCCACTCCATCACCACAGCCAGCAGGAGCATATTGAACCTTCCTGCTATGACAGTGGGAACCAGGGTTAGGTCCCTTTTCCTCTCGGAATCACAGAACCAATAAAGGAGGCCAGCCCAGATTGAGCAGTGAAGGAAGGTTTTTTGTTTTGGTTTCTTTGGGGGGGGCTTTATTGTTGTTGTTGTTGTTTGTTTGCCAAAGAACAGAAGAAGCAGAAAGAAAGGCTTGCAAATCTGTTCCTATACCCGTGGAGTGGGTAGGCTAGTAAAAGAAATGAGGAGGAAGGACAGGCTAATAAAGGGGAGGAGGTCAGAAACCAAAGTGGCAAAGGCCTGTAATCCCAGCTACTCAGGAGACTGAGACAGGAAGATCACAAATCAGGCAGATCAGGCTCAGCAATTTAGCAAGACCCTGTCTTTGTAAATACAAAGGGCTGAGGATGTAGCTCAGAAACAGGGTGCCCCTGATTCAATCCCCTGTACTACAAAAAGGGGGTCAGAGGAATATTTGTGTCTTCTAGGAGTGGGGCTGGAGTTCATAAAGCATGCAGATGGGATTAAAATAAAGTTAGAGATTGCCTGGAAACAATCGTAGACCCAACCAGTTCTGGCTAGTGCATCAGAAGAGGCCTTCACACATCTTCCCTAAAAGATGAACAAGATTTGGTCCAGATAGGAGTTCAGCTAGGTCCCTTAGGCAAGGATGCTTCTTCGAATGGGATGCTTCAAAAGACCAGTATGGGTTCCTCAGTGGCCCCTGACTAAAGAAAAGATACAAGCAGCCCATGACCTGGTCAAACAACAATTAGCGGAAGGACATATACAACCTTCTGTATCTCCCCATAATACTCCCATTTTTGTCATCAAAAAGAAATCTGGTAAATGGAGATTATTGCAAGATTTAAGAGCCATTAATAATGAGATGGTTATTATGGGACCTGCTCAATCAGGGATTCCTCAGTTGTCTGCTTTGCCAAAAACCTGGTATGTTTTAGTTATAGATATTAAAGATTGTTTTTTTTCAATTCCAATTCATCCTGAGGATAGTCCACGTTTTGCATTTACTATCCCTGCACTGAATCATGAAGGTCCTGATCAGAGATATGAATGGAAAGTACTCCCTCAAGGGATGGCTAACAGCCCAACTATGTGTCAAATTTATGTTAACAAAGTAATCCAGCCACTTAGAAATCAAAATCCTGAACTACAAATATTTCACTATATGGATGATGTATTATTAGCACACAAAGCTAAAAACACATTGCTAGAATGTTATGCCACACTTACAAACTTATTAAAAAAATATAATCTAGAGATAGCAATAGATAAAGTACAATTAAATTTTCCAATTAATTATTTAGGAGTTCTATTATCCTCAACCATGGTCCGTCCACCAAAAATTCAAATACGAGTAGATCAACTCAAATCACTTAACGACTTTCAAAAGTTATTAGGAGACATAAATTGGATAAGGCCTTATTTAGGTATACCAACAGGAGAGTTGGGACCTTTATTTGATATCCTAAAAGGTCCATCAGATCCAAATTCACCCCGAATGTTAACGCCTGAAGCAAGAAAGGCATTAAAAATCATTGAAACATATATGGAAAATATGCATTTGGATAGAATTGATATAAGTTTGCCTTTATTATTTATTGTACCACCAACAAAAAATATTCCTACAGGAGTATTTTGGCAAGAAGGTCCATTATTATGGATACATTTATCTTATTCTCCTAACACTATTCTTACTAGGTATCCTGAGGCTGTAGGACAATTAATACTCAAAGGAATAAAAGCAGCAAAGGGAGTGTTTGGAATTTCTCCCAATAAAATTATTACTCCATATACTATGAATCAAATTGATGAGTTAGCTAATGAGTTAAATACTTGGGCAATAATCATGTGCAAATCTAATGTTTCACTTGATAACCACTTACCATCTAATCCTTTGTTGTCTTTTTGGTCATCGCATCCTGTAATTTTTCCAAAAATGACAAGAAAAACACCTATCATGAATGCTCCAAATATATTCACTGATGGATCAAATAATGGTACAGCAGCAATAGTTACCCCTGATCAAACTTTTACATTTTTAGTACCCAAACAGCTCAAAAGGTAGAGCTTAATGCAGTATTACAAGCTTTTGTGATGTTTAAAGATTCTGTATTTAATTTATTTTCTGATAATCAGTATATAGTTAACGCTATAGTATTCCTTGAAGATGCTGGTAGGATTTCCCCTTCTTCTACTGTTTTCTATTTGCTTTCCACTATACAAAGTCTAATCTGGGACAGAAAAGATCCATTCTTTATAGGACATATCAGGGCACATACAGGATTGCCTGGAGCCCTTAGTTTGGGCAATGATTTAGCAGATAAAACTACACATGACATACATATTTTCTCTACACTAGAAGAAGCTATAAATTTTCACAAATGGTTCCATGTCAATGCTAACACTTTACAAAAGCGTTTTAAAATAACTAAGGAACAAGCTAGACACATAATAAAACAATGTCAAAATTGTGTGACCTTTTTACCACAAGTTAATCTTGGAGTCAATCCTAGAGGATTGATACCTAACCATATTTGGCAGATGGACGTCACACACTTGCCAGAATTTGGAAAATTAAAATATTTGCATGTTACAGTTGATACTACTTCTGGATTTTTGATGGGCTCCCTTCATGCCGGAGAAAAAACTAAAGATGTTATAGCTCATTGCTTACAAATTTTTGCCACTGTGGGCGTTCCAAAACAGTTAAAAACAGATAATGGCCCTGGTTATACTTCTACCTCTTTTAAACAATTTTGCTCATCATTTGGCATTACTCATATAACAGGAATCCCATACAATCTACAGGGACAAGGCATAGTTGAAAGAGCTCATCAAACTATTAAAATGTACTTATTAAAGCAAAAAGACGGAATTGGGAAGGGGTATATATTCCCCAAAGATAAACTTAAAATAACCCTTTTTACTCTAAACTTTTTAAATTTGGATTCATCAGGACTTAGTGCTGCGGAAAGGCATATGTGTCCAAAAAATGTGCATAAGCCCAAGGTACTTTGGAAAGATATTCTAACAGGACAATGTAAAGGTCCTGACCCAGTGATTGTCTGGAGTCGGGGGTCTGTTTGTGTGTTTCCACAGGGAGAACAGCAGCCGATTTGGATTCCAGAGAGATTAACTAAAGCGATTTCTACAGACCAAAAAGAAGATGATTTGACTCAAGTCCATAACAGCTGATATCCAAAACTCCAGTTTGGCTATCCTTATATCTGCGATAGAACCAGGATGCTTTTTTCAATATCAATTTTATTATTGCCCTTTCCCACATTCTATTTTGTTTTTTGAGCTCATGCAGACCTAGGTTAATGTTTTGCTGATCAGTTCTATTTTTTGACTATAGAGTTTTTAAACATTGCAATGGAAATTTCACCTGTAAAAAGTTATAAGGCCTTTACTATTATGTTATGTGTTGTATGTATTATATTATGTGTTCACACTTGTGTTTTGTGTTATATGTTTGAATGTACGTATGTCCATATATCATATATGATGAGCGCTCATGAAAAAATGGATCCAATTTTTTTTATATTCAAGTGATTTAAATGGTTTAATTTAAATTGGGTAAACAACTGTTGAGGATTGTTTTAATATGTGAACAAAAAAGGAGGTTAACAGATCTTTTTGTTTACTTTTACCTTTCCTTTTCATTATATTTAATAATTCTCTTAAAGATAATGTAAATTGTTAAGAAAATTGT